AAGTGGTTAAGATATAGATCCTAAGAAGGTTGCAAAAAAAATAAGCCTATATATAGTAATCCCTAGAACAACCAATAAAGAAACTACTATAGACAAATAAAAATAGAACACTAAAAAAATGTTTAAGTAATAGGAGACAAAAAAGGGGAAACAGAAGAACAAAATTTAGAACATACAGGAAAAAAATAACATGATCTAAATTCATCACATCAGCATTTGTATTTAATGTAAATGGTCCAAGCAAACTAATTAAAAGATGCATTGTAATGACTCAACTGCATGCTGTCTCCAAGAAACTTACATCAAATATAATGATATAGGGCTGGCTGAGTGGCGCGTTGGTTAAGAGCTGGCTTGGGACGCCAGTTCTGAGCAGCATGGCCCCAGTTCGGATCCCACATTAGGGCCAGTGATGCTATGCCCTCTACAGCTAAGATGGTGAACAACAGCTCGACCTGGAGCTGGGCTGCTGTGAGCTGCCGGTGACAGCGTAGGCTGCAGCCCCTGCTGCAGTGGGCTGCCATAAAGCCACTGTGAGCGGCCGGCAGCCAGTATGAGCTGCCAAGAGCCACTTTGAGCGGCCGTCTAGTGGCTGGCAACCAATCTGCTTCACCCGGGAAGAGCGCAATGATAATACCAACATGGGCCAGTGAAGCAATGTCCTCCACAACTAGACTGAAGAACAAAAGGACAGCAACTTGTCTGTTCCCCTTCCCTGATTCCCCAACGCTCTTCCCCTCCCCCAATTCCCCAATAAAATCTTTATATATTTTTTTATTTTATTTATATATATTTATTTATTTAATTTATATATATAATAACATATATAATGATATAATAAGTTAAAAAGGATAGAAAAAGCTATATTACACAAACACTAATTCAAAGAAAGCTGGAGTTTCTAAATTAAAATCTTTGCTTGAAAGCAAAGAAAATTGATACAAAAAGGGACCAAGAAGATATAAGAATTTTAAATGTGTTTGCCAGTAACTGAGCTTCAAAATACATAAAGCAATAACTGACAGGATATGAAGGAGAAATAGACAAATCCATAATTATAATGAGAGAATTAAATACTGTTCTCATTAACCTATGTAACTAATAGAGGGAAAAATCAGCAAGGATATGGAAAACCTGACTGTCACCGCAAACTAACTGAATCTAATTGACATTTATAGAATACTCTACCAACAATAGAATACACACTTTTTTCAAAGGTACATGGATCTTTAACCTAGATATAGCATAATCTGTGTCATAAAACAAATATTAACAAATGTTAATTTAAGTAACACAAAATACATTCTCTGACATAACTGAATTAAACTAAAAATAATAACAAAGGTAGTGAGAAAGTCTTAAAACACTTAGAACTTAAACACCAAACTGAAATAATACATGAGTCAAGGTTTCAACAGATACTATAAAATATACTGAATTGAATGAAAATGAAAATACAACATAATCAAAATTGGTGGGATGCAGTTACAGCAGTGCTTAGAGGAATATTTTAATGCTTATATTACAAAAGAAAAAATATCTCAATTGAATAATTCAAGCCATCACCAAAAGAAACTAGAAATAAAAGAGAAAAATAAACCTAAAGCAAGCAAAAAGAAGGACATAATAAAGATAAGAACAGAACAGAAATCAATTAAATTAAAAACAGAATAGAGATTAAAAAGCAAACAATGATTCTTTTAAAAAATCAATAAAACTGATAAACCTCTAGCTAAACTTTCAAAAAGAGAGAAGATAAAGATTACCAATATGAAGAATGAAAGTTGGGATATCACTACAGACCCCACAGTCATCAACAGTATAATAAGGGTATACTACAAACAACTTTACACACAAAAATTCTACAGCTTAGATGAAATAGGCCAATTCCTTGAAAACCAGTAACTACCAAAACTTACTCAAAATGAAACAGACAACTGAAATAGACTTAAAAGTATTAATGTAATTAAATTTGTTACTAAAATCTTCATATATATATATATATATATATATATATATATATATATTTATCCAGACCATGATGGTGTCACTGGTGAATTCTACAAAAGAAGAATAACACCATATCTACACAATTTCTTCCAGAAAGTAGAAGAGAAATTATTTTCAACATTTTATGAGGCCAGTAATGCCCAGATATCAAAAAAAAACAAAACAAAGAAAGTGCAAAATAAAAAGTAATAACTACAGATAATGTCATCACGAGATGCAAAAATCCTCAACAAAACATTAGCAAATAATCCAGGAATATTTAAAAGAATCAGCAACTGGGGTTTATCCCAGGATACAAGGCTGATTCAGTATTTGAAAATCAATCAATGTAATCAACCATATTAAGAGTCTAAAGAAGAAAAATCATGTCACATGCTTTTTTCTGCATTGATATGAACATGATAATTTGAATTATAACATATTTAACAATTTATATTATAATAGCATACACAATAAAAATTTTTAGCAAACTAGGAATAAAAGGGAACTTCCTCTGCCTAATAGAGGGTATCTATGCAAAACAGCTACCAACATAATTATTGGTGAAAAACTGAATGCTTTTCCCCTAAAATCAGTAACAAGATAAGAATATTCAATCTTGCCACTTCTATTCAACAACTTCTATCATACTTAAGTCCTCGCTAGTGCAAAAATGTAAGAAAGGAAATAAATGCATATAGATTGGAAAGCAAGAAAGAAAACTCTATTCACAGATATATGTATGATGTCTACACAGAAAATCTCAAGGAATCTACAAAAAACAAACAAACAAACTGGACTAGAACTAATAAGTGAGCTCAATAAGATTGCAGAATACAAGGCCAATACAGACAAATCAATCATAAATGCTAGCAATGTACAATTGGAAACCAAAATTTACAAGACGATATCATTTTTAACAGCTCCAAAAATGTAATACTTATGCATACATCTAACAAAAACATGTACAGGATCTGTGAACTAAAAACTACTAAATGCTGAAGAAAGGAATCAAAAAGTCTAAATAAATGGAGAGATATACTGTATTTATGGATTGGTAGACTCAACATAGGAAAGATGTCAATTCTTCCCAAGTTGAATTTCATAAAAGAGGATGTAAGGTGGCAAAAAAAGTACATGAAAAGATATTCATCAGCTGATAGGGAAGGCAAATTAAAACCACCATGAGATACCACCTCACACCAATTTAAACTGCTAAAAAAACCAAATCCTAACAATACCAAGTGCTGGTGAAGATATGACATAACTGGATCTCTTATACATTGAAAATGGAAATTAAAAACAGCACGACCACACTCGAAAACTGGCGGCAGTTTCTTATAAGGTTAAACATATACTTACAAGGTGTGATAAAAAAATATACAGTGGGGCCGGCCAAGTGGCGCGTTGGTTAAGAGCTGGTTTGGGATGCCAAAGGGCCCCGGTTCGGATCCCACATGTGAGGGCCAGTGACACTGCCCTCTACAGCTAAGATGCTGAACAACAGCTCAACCTGGAGCTGGGCTGTCGTGAGTCGCCGGCGATGGCGTGGGCTGCAGCCTCTGCTGCAGTCGGCTGCCATGGGCTACCGTGTGTGGCCGGCAGCCGGCGTGAGTGGCTGGCAGCCGGTGTGAGCTGCCAAGAGCCTCTGTGAGCTGCCGTCCAGAGGTCGGCAACTGATCTGCCTCGCTGGGGAAGAGTGCAATGATGGTGCCAACGTGGGCCAGTGAAGCAGCGTCCTCCACAACTGGACTGAGGAATGGAATGACAGCAACTTGTCTGTTCCCCTTCCCCCAATTCCCCAGCGCTGTTCCCATCCCCCCAATTCCCCAATTAAAAAAATACAGTGAATGTTTAAATAAAAAAATTTATTGCTGTAAAAGACACATTTTCATTAATCCCCCTCAAAATACTCCCCCTTGCTTCAAACACACTTATCCCATTGTTCTTGCCACTTTTTAAAGCAGTCCTGGAAGTCCTCTTTCGTGTCTTTACTTCATCCTCCATCATGACAACGCTCCGTGTAACACATAGCTTCTGGAACAGCAATTTCTGTCAAATAACAACATTACGGTGTGTCCTCATCCATCTTATTCACCATATTTGGCACCGTGCAACTTCTGGCTTTTCCCCAAAGTCAAAATGGCCATGTAAGGTAAACGTTTTGAATTGATTCAGGATATGGAGGCAGCCACAACAGTGCAACTAAAGACACTCACAAAAGAGGACTTCCAGAACTGTGTCAGAAAGTGGTAAGAATGATGGGATAAATGTGTTCAAAGCAAAGGGGAGTATTTTGAGGGACATTAATAGCAATGTGTCTTTTGCTGTAATAATTTTTTAAATATTCCCTGTTTGTTTTGATCACACCTTATACCATATGACTTTGAGTCATATGGAATTCTCCTGAGTATTTACCCTAGAGAAATTATAATCTACCTTATCACAGATGTTTTAGTAGCTCTATTTGTAATTAACCAAATCTGGAAACAACCCTAGTGTTCCTAAGTGTGAACAAATAAACTGGTGCATCACATGATGGATCACTACAGTACAATGGGACTGACTTGAATGAGATTGGCTTCCTATCCTCAGAGGCTTTATGCTGAGGGAAGGAAGCCAATCTCAAAAGGTTACATACTCCATTTATGTGACGTTTGTAAAGGCAAACCTATACAGATACTAGATCACAGCTGCCTGGTCAGGGGAGGGTGTGACTGTAAGAGAACAGTAGGAGGGAGTGTTTGGGGTGATGGAAATGTCCTTTATCCTGATTTTGCTGGTTACACAAATCCATGCGTGTATTAAAATTCATTTAACGGTATGTTCCCCCAAAGTCAATTTTACTCTATGATAAGTTAAAAAGTAATATTGTTCTTAAAAGAAAACACAGGCCATCTCCCAAGTGATTATCCCTTTACTCAGCTGCAGCCATGTCCAGAATCTTAATCCTTGAAAGAATCACTATCTGGACACACATGCCATGACTACATGTTCAGAAAAAACCCAAAATGAAGGCTTACATTGGTAATTAATGCATTTCATGGTTAAAAAATAAAAAGTCGGAATATAAAATATAATTTTGTTTTGTTTCTTTATTTTCACTGTCTTTTTTTATTTTTGTAAACAGAGTCATTTTGGAATTCTGCTTCCTTCAATACCGAGACTTCATATCTGCATTTCCCTACGTTCCGAGAAGAACTTAGTGCTGACATCTCTTTCTTTTTTAAGACAACGGCTTCTTCTGGGGTGTTCATAGAGAACTTGGGGATCACAGACTTCATCAGGCTCGAGCTGCGCGGTGAGTCGCCCACTCTGGACAAAGCCACAGGTGCTCAGCAACAGAGAGTAAAACAATGATTCAGGAAACACACAAGTCTGTACAATTTTGAGCTTCTTTAACTCGATGTGCAATCAGGACATTAAACCAAACTGGTCAAATAGCTGCTTACTAAATTACAAAATTATTTGACATAATTGACTAGTCACATTGTTTATTCATGTTTGCAAAGCTCAGTTTCTTACCATCAACATTTCACGCAGTGCTTTTAAAACTCTGAAGATTTAGGGAGGCGGGGTCCAGCAGCGCGACGGAGCCGGCGCACCGCTGAGCGTGAGCGGCGCTGCTGACGGAGCTGGGGGGCGCGCCGCCTATGGCATCCCCGCTGACCCCTTGCTGGTCCTTAACGGCGCAGCGCTGGGCTGGGAGGGCGCGCAGGCCAGCTGAGCACTGCTGCTCCTCTTGGAGGCCTCATCTACCTGGTGCCGCCCTCCCGCGGCTGGCTGGCCAACGCGCGTGCTCAGCCTGGCGCTCTAGTGCTCGGCCCGCTGGCCTGCCCGCTGGCCACGCCCCGCACGCGCGTCGTCCCCACGTGCCCGCCGCACTGTGCGCGCACGCGATCTGCCTGGACGTGGCGCGTTCAAGGCCAACATCACACCTTTGGGCGCCGACCAGGTTAAAGGTCGTGGTCCAGAAGCCACAAGAAGGTTCCTTAATTGGTTTTACTGGAGCATTCATCTGGGAGCAATCGTCTCCTCTCGTTAGGAGGCACTGCCTACGTTCAGCAGAACGAGAGCTTGGGGTCCCGCAACGCCAACCTCACTGTGCCTCAGCCTTTCCTTCCTGATCTTCCTCTGCGGCCAAAGCTTTTTCATCACCAAGCCACCCCACTCCACGGCAGTGCCTTCACCAATACGTTACGGATACTGGCATTTTCGCGCCATCCCCAGAAGCGAACTGGAGAATGCAGTGTAGTGATGAAGGCAGGCAGTGCAGTGTTCCAGCGAGCTTCTAAACACTGTTCATTCATGTAAGATGTCGCCTAGACCGCCATTAACAGACGACAAAGCAGGAGACACAAAAGCTTTTGTCAAGATGATCCCTGATTTCTTGGCTTTGATACCTTACTGGACAGTGTGTTTTCAAATGCAGGCAATGTATGTTTTACAGGGTCTTCATTTGAAGAGTCCAGACATTTCCAATATTGTAACCACTTGTGTTTCCAGCAGCCTGGCTGAGCATGTTGGATGGGGTGCTCATCCTCCTGTCAATTCCCTTAAAGGATAAGCTGGTTGATCCCATTTTGAGAAGAAATGGCTTATTCCCATCACCCTTAGAAAGGATCGCTGTCGGAATGTTCTGTGTGATGTGTTCAGACATTGGATTTAGGAAATTAAAAGGCTGGTCTCATTAAAGAGAAAACTATTAACGAGACCATTGGAAATGTCATGTATTTTGCTGCTGACTTGCTTATGTGGTGGAGGGTTCCTCAATATATGCTGTTTGGCATCAGTGAAATATTTGCAAGTATAGCAGATCCAGAATTTGCATCCTTGGCGGTGCCCAAGTGCATGCAGAGTGCCATCATGAGCTTATTCTTTTTATTCTGTGGCATCAGGTCCTACCTGGGCTCGGGACTGCTGGCACTGGTGTCCATCAAGGCCACCTGGTGTACGAGCAACCACATGGACTTTGGTAATACAGAGGGTACCAAAAAAGTGTATACATTTTAAGAAAGGGAAAAAAACCTGTATTAAAATTGTAATACTGTATATATACCAATAACAAAAGATGAAAAAGATAAATACAAATGTGAGTTTTACTTCTGCAATTATAAGAGGTGCTCAAACTGGTTACCATCAGCGTCCAGACACTTCTGATTATGGCGAACTACTGCTTGAGCAACGTTGACCCAAGTGTCCACTTGTATACATTTTTTGGCACCCCCAGTATAATGGCTGCTATTTAAACTATTACTTTTTTCTTCTGGCTGCTATTCAAGGAGCTGCCCCTTTATTTTTCCTTATTATTTCTGTGTATTACAAGCGTCAGTGACCAAGAGCAAACGGGACGCCCAACAGTAGGAGGGCCTGATATTTCTGAAGCCCAAGTCAGGACCCTTAGACTGATAGTCCCAGGAAGTGACTGGCTGGGTGCACACTGAGGAAGGCAAGATTTTAAATTGTCATAAATGTCTGACTTTCCTAAAAGTTGCATGACACCTGGACTGGTTTCTCCTTTTCTTCTACCCAGAAGAACTAGGTAAGTGCCTTACTGTGATTTGTTTCCTGCTATGCTGGGCCCTCCTGGAGCAGAGACACAAGTACTTTGCTTCTCATCAGTGAAGATCTCTGTGTCCATCTTGCAGCTGGTATCCTCTTTGACAAAACCCACAAATGAAGGTTGCTCAGTCTTGGGAGAGTATACATATTTTGGTTGGCATCTTAGTATTTTAAACAAATGTTATTTCCTTCCAACACACCATATGATTATTTTCTTTTGATTAATAAACATCTACTCATATTAAAGAATGGGAGGATTTTTTAAGAGAGAAAAATGTTGTCAAATGCTGCAAAGACTTGAAATGAAGGTCATGTTTATGGTTTCTTTCCTAAGCCACACATCTTGCCATTGCAGATTATTTGGTACAGGGTGGTAGTGAATATACAGTCAGTCAATTAAGTTCGCAAACTTGTTGCAATGATGTTGCTAAACTTTTTTGACATCAGAGGGATTATTCATTATGAATGTATACCAACTCGACAAACAGTTAACCAAGTTTACTACTTGGAAGTGCTGAAAAGGCTGCGTGAAAAAAAGTTAGACGAAAACAACCTGAACTTTTCACCAATGATTCATGGGTTTTGCAATACGACAATGCACAGCTCACACGGCACTGTCTTTGAGGGAGTTTTTAGCCAGTAAATAAATAACTATTTTGGAACACCCTCCCTACTCACCTGATCTGGCCCCCAATGATTTTTTTCTTTACCTGAAGATAAAGGAAATATTAAAAGGAAGACATTTTATGCCACTCAGAATATCAAGGGTAATATGATGACAGCTCTGATGGCCATTCCAGAAAAAGAGTTCCCAAATTGCTTTGAAGGGTGGACTAGGTGCCAACATCATTGCATAGCTTCTCAAGGGGAGGACTTCAAAGGTGACCGTAGTGATATTCAGCAATGAGGTATGCAGCACTTTTTCTAGGATTATTTCTTGAATTTAATTGTCCGACCTCAGATTTGTCTGCTGTTTCAAAGAATACTTAATTTTTAAACTATTGACATTGCTTTCTTTTCTTAAGAATATGCATCAAGAAGTGTTTAAGGTCATGTATCCTATCTCAAGCTGCAAAACAACTTAAAGAATAGGTTAAACCTTACCTAGTGAGTTCTGTATAATTTCATTTTGGGTACCACTGTGACTAAAGACCTATCATGGGGGGGGTGTAAGGAGAACATTATTTTGAGCAGAATTAATGTAATTAAAAATAATGGAAAGTGTTAAATGTGAGCTTGAACTGTTTGGCTAGTCACCAACTTTTGTATTGCTAATTTTTACATGTACATGGGAGTTCTGATTTTGTTAAAGAAACAATTCTTTATTTGTTGCTGTAAACCACCAAAGATTTAAACCACCTTTAAATAAACTGACTTATACATGTGAAACCAGATAACATGTTATTTTTCTTTCTGTAGGTAAATATCTCTGCTGCTTAGACTTAGCAAGATGAATAGTAAACTCTGAGGAAGAATATGTTAAAATCAGCTTTGTTTTTCTTTCTCCAGGATACAGATTTATTTTGCCCTCCTAGCCAACACAGAATGACACTTGTCTGCATCACTGTCACGACATGCTTTCATAAGGAGCATGTCGTTGTGCTTTTCTCATGTCTACTCAGGACTAAATTTTCTCCTCTGTGAATTAATTTGAGCAATTCTTATATCTATATTTTCAGCTCCTGCAGAAGTGACCTTTTCCTTTGATGTGGGGAATGGGCCTTGTGAGGTCACGGTGCAATCTCCCACACCCTTTAATGACAATCGGTGGCACCACGTGAGGGCTGAGAGGAACATCAAAGAAGCGTTGCTTCAAGTGGATCAGCTCCCTAGTAAGACCCAGCCTGGGCCTGCTGATGGGCACACCCGCTTACAGCTCAACAGCCAGCTCTTCGTGGGTGAGTCTTGTGGGCCTGTAGCCAGGCTGTACTGAGTCAAAATGGAACGAGAGAAATCATAACTATAAAAGCAGTGATGATAGCCAAGTGCAGATAACTACTCCCATCAGCACATGTGCCAAGAGCTCATTTAGTATTTAGTATTTCTTTGCATAGATTACTGTACCCAATTAACAGATGAGATAATGGAGGCTCAGAGAGATCAGTGACTTGCCCACAGAAACTCAACTGGAAGAGGAATCCAGACCTGTGTAGGACATCAATTGATGAGCTTGCACTCAATACCACAAATGATTTGTGTTTGTTTCAGTTACTTCTTATCAATACTATTTACAAAACAATTAGCAACGTTTAGTCATTTTTCCCATTTCACTTCTCAGTGCAGCTAGAGTACTGGCTTTGTAATTGGGACAGAATCTTCTGTGTCCCCTCCAAAACAGACCATAGGAGACCAGGTCAGCAGAGGCAGCCTCCTGTGTCTGCACAGCAGGACTTGGCCAGAACCTGGCTGCTCTCAGTCCTGCCCATTCTGTTCTCTCATTGCAAATATCATATTCAGAGCCTGGGCTGGCTCTTTGCCCTCACAGCCCATTCTGTAAAGACTAAAGATCTGGGTAGTGGAAGGCTTCCCTTTAATCTACTTGCTTATTTTTTATTATTATTTGTTTTTCCCAAAGGGAGAAGAAATATGTTTTGCTACATTACTTTTTAGACAACTCTATTTTGATTTGGAAATTAAACAGATTAAGGAAGTAACACTCACTTGGCCATTTCTCATGTGTTTTAAAGTAAATAAGGACACAGTCCAATTAAAGGTTGATCTAAATCACAAATTAACAGCCTGCTTTGCCTAAGGATACCCACAACATCCATAAAACTCAGCTCCAAGCAGTTAGTTCTTACTGAGTTGAAACTTCACTTCAAGCCATCAAACTGAGGATCAAATTAAGCAATTTTGTTGTCTGATATATAATCCTGAGGATTAATCAATGTAGTTTCTAGGCACAAAGTTTGCCTGAAAATCTACCTAGAATCAGCATCCCCATGAGGATAATGTTTCTAAAGCTTAAGAAGCTAATTGAAAATTCAGATTTGGGGTAACTACCCCAGGCCCACAGAGACCTAATCCCTGGGGATGAGCCCCAAATCTGTTTTCAGCTTGTACTCTAAGTGACTGCTGTGCTCCCATATTTCAGATTGGGCTCTCATGAAACATGATAGAAATAGAGGTATGTATTATTCAGTTAATGTTGCACCATCTTACCTCAGAGCCAACAGGATGGAGTTAGGAAGCCTTGAGGGCTTAGATTTTTGGTTTCCCCCCTTCTGCCTTCTCTTTCTTTGCTCCCTCCTCAATCCCTTTTCACAGTTTTATTATTGAGAGTTCTTCTAAGTAAGAATTAGTATTATATATATATACAAATTTATAATATACATTATATATTAAATATGAAAATTTTATACTACAAAGATTTTCAAATATATAGCCTTTGTTATACATATCATTGTTTTTAGATTTAAACTTTAAAAATCATTGGTGGTCTTTAATTTGAGCTTTATAAAAGGATGAGTGTAAAAATCTTTTGAAATATAACTTGAAATATTTTTACAATAAATATTTACCAAGTTCAACTTAAAAACAAATATTTTTGTTAATATTTATTCAGTGCTGCTCGATGAGTCTTAATATTTGATCACAGCCTATGTTTTCAAAATTCTATTTGTTCATAAAACTTGTAATACATTACTTTTGGACATTATCTATGTGGCCTCCGTCTGGCATAGAGAGGAAATCCAGAGGAAGAGACCAGGACTGCATTTACATTTGCAATGTTTCCCTTCCAGGTGGGACGGCAGTCAGACAGAGAGGCTTCCTGGGATGCATCCGGGCCCTGCAGCTGAATGGGCTGGCCTTGGATCTAGAAGAAAGAGCCACGATGACGCCCGGAGTGGAGCCAGGGTGCCCAGGACACTGCAGCAGCTACGGACACTTGTGTCGCAATGGAGGGAGCTGTAGAGAGAAACACAGGGGTGTTTCTTGTGACTGTGCCTTCTCTGCCTATGATGGGCCGTTCTGCGAGAATGGTGAGTATGACCGAGGAGGGTTGCAGGGAAATGACACTGGTCGTAAAGACTATGAAGATCATTTCTGTAAAGAAAGGTCTGGTGATTCTCTGTGATTAACTGAAATAGAATTGTTTCTGTCCCAAGTCCCTCTGTCTAACGTGGGAGGCGGTATGGTTCTATTCCTGAGAATTGGTAACTGCCTCTGTTAGATATGGTGTCAGTCCTCTCTGGATTTCTCAGAGGACATTGGTGCAACGAATGCCCTGAGGAGAGTAATACCTTTAACTCTGCATTTACACTGGAAATTTAATTTGATATAAATCTAAGATGAAGCATTTGGGAAGCAATAATAAAATATTTTTACTCAATCCTGGGTTATGGAAATATGGGGGATTAGTTATCTTTTTATTCATACTTTTTTTAATCTTAAAATTTATAAATTAAAAGAAACAGCAAAGCATGTCATTATTATTTCCTCTCTTGATATATTTAAGGATTACAAATATTCTTTAAATATACATAAAGCAAGACCCTTGCACTTATACAGAGGGTGCCAAAAAATGTATAACACATTTTAAGAAAGGAAAAAACTATTAAAATTGTAATACTCAATATATAACAATAACAAAAGATGTATACAAGCCACGTTTGACTTCTGCAGTTACAAGAGGTGGTCAAGTGGTTACCATTAGCATCCAGACACTTCTGATTACGGCGAACTACTGCTTGAGCAATGTTAACCAAAGTGTCCACTTGTATACAATTTTTTTGGCACCCCCGGTATATTGCTAATGTCGATGTAAGAAACATCCAAACTTGTAGAGAAGTTTAATGAGTTTATTTGAGACAAACTTATGATAATTGCTGGGAAGCAAAATCTTAATGGATTAAGAAAATGTTTCTGAAAATGGCAGTTTCACAGCTTATTTTATACATTAGAATCAAACAAGGAGACATAAGGAGGCTTACATGAAGTCCATTGGTGGTAGATTAAGGGGGTGGGAGAAAGCAAAGGGGAAATCTCTGGGAATGGATAAAAAGTAAAATGGAGAGACACATACTTTTTTTACATAGGTGGGTGCAGGATAGTTAGCATTTTATACAACACATAGAGATGATAATCAGGGGACAAGAACAACAATGAGGGATTCTGTAGTTTCCTGCTCTGGCTAGTGGGTTGTGCCCTGAAGGGTAGGGAAAAAAGGATGACTCTGACATTCCAAGGTTCTATTATCTTTGAAGCAAAAAGACAATAGACAAGCTCACTTAAGGTAAAGATTGACCTTTGTCAAGGAAGCTACAGGCCAAGGATGTGACTACTGGCCATGACCAACTTTTAGTTAGAAATTTTTATGTTCAGGCCATCCTATGTGGTTAATTTCAGTCTCTGCGTTTGTAGGGCCTGCCATGCTGGCCTCCCCTGAGCTTGTCAGGTTTAGTACTTGGCCCCTTTTCGTCCACACTAACAAACAAAAATGGGTGTCATTCCAGAGTTTTCTGCATATTTTGGAAGTGGCTCATCAGTTACCTACAATTTTAAAGAACATTACAATTACACCTTCAGTAAGAACTCCAGCTCCTTTGTGGCCTTGTTTCACGAGGACCTGACACTGACCAGGGAAACGACCACGCTGAGCTTCCGGACGACAGGGACGCCCAGCTTACTGCTCTACGTGAGCTCCTTTCAGGAGGAGTACCTGTCCGTTATTCTCGCCCCTAATGGTGAGAGTCCTTACTGTAAGAACAGAAAGAATGAGTGGTTTTATTTTCTTTACAACCCCAAATTTTATCACTAAAGTTAATGTTTCAATTATTAAATTAAGATGCATTTCTTCCATTAAAGGTTGATCGTTTTATGTATTTGATGTACATCTGTGCTTCTTGTTATTGCTGAAAGGTCTTTTTGTCTGTACATGAATAAATTAGTCTTGCAGCTCATACTAAAATAAGGTATCTCATTTTATACATGGAAGGTATTTCCTTTTCCTAAGTGAAATAAAGAAGTACATTAAACCATCTAAAAGCCAGTATCCATATTTACATACAATGGAAAGTGGAATGAGTCACCCAACCCATGGCCACCAGGGCTTTCTAAGTCTTTCCTGATTGCAGAACAAAACCAAGCTTTAAGCTTTTTCATGGACATTGAGGAGAGAAACTGAACTTCTGGAAAAGCTTTCCAGCCTCAGTCCACTGCCTCTGTTACAGGCAGTAGGGGAGATGTAGGGTAGAGGGCACATCTGTGAAGGGGAGCCGTGTGTGGATCCGAGATTTAGATATTGTGGCAAAATCACTCATTCTCTCTTTTCTCCATTTTTTGATTATGGCAAAACATTAGGGAAAAATACGGGTTGTGGAAAAAAATTAATTATGCAAAATTCAGCAATGCATTAAAATGCATTGAAATGTCACATTACAAGAAGTTATGCATATAAAAACAGAATGTTAATGCAATATTGCTTGAGGTTTTAGCACTTAATAATATGAATACCACATGAATAATTAACTTACAGCCTAGCTTGCAGTTTTCATATGCTTAACTTAGACTTTTTCCTTTAGTTAAGGAAATGGCAGAACTTTGAAAAATACCCGTTGGTCTTGATTTTTAAAATAGTGTAATTGGATCCTGAATTTGGCCTGGAATAGCACATAAATAATCTCTATTCCAGTAAAAGTGACTCTGGTACTCTGAAATAAATACTCAATAGATTCAAATTGCATTAAATAATAAAAATAAAATGTGTGTTAGAATCTGCATGGACAGTTTTTATAAAAGTCTATTTTAAGTTAAAAATGTCATTTTCTCTTCTTCAGGAAGTTTGCAGATCAGGTACAAACTAGATAGACACCAAGAACCCGATGTTTTCAACTTTGGTGTCAAAAGCCTGGCTGACGGTCAGCTTCACCGGGTGATAATTGACAGAGAGGCAGCAGTGGTCTCTGTAGAGGTAAGGGCGTGAGTTCGGCAACAGCGATGGGACCCAAAATTGTGCAGCTCAGATCAGAATGTAAGACTTACTGCAGAAATTTGATAATAAGTCCTCATTAGAAAGATACACATTCGGCACTGTCCTTTCATAAGTGTTGCTAGGACAGAATATGTAGTCAAGGTGTTTTGTTCTGTTTAGCAATGTTTGTGTGTTTAGCAAAAGACCATCAAAAGTTGTTATTAATATTTGAACATTTAAAATACCAAGCTGTGCTCATTGGTATTTCACTTGGTAGGAAAATGCTGTCTAGTCTATCATAGTGATAATTCCCATTGGATTGCAAAAGAACAAATGTTATAGAAATTTAAGTACAGGGAAAAAACAAGATCTTGCTTAAAGTGGGAATACATTTTAAAATTATCAGAGTATTTAGATCATGAATTGTCTTAGATTTTAAAGAATAACCTTTAATATAGTGAATCTGTACAAATAATAAAATTTTCTGCTCATGTTACAGATTCCCTTTTGAAATAAATTAAAGCTTTAAGGTTTAAAATAACTTATTACATCTCTTTGTAGGTTTTACCAATAGAGAGAAAAGGATAGACAATAGGGTAGAGTGGAATTTGAGATATTACAAAAATTGTTTATAAAAATTTTTTTCCTATAACCTTTGTGATAGCAGGAACTATGGCTTATTTTTATCTTTTTTCTTGGTCTCTCTTTGATTCCCATCCCCTGATCATCAAAATTGCTTGCCATTTTGATGTTTGCTTCTCATGGGACATTCAACAGGTTAACCAGAATGCAAGGAAAAAAGTCATCCTGTTGTCGGGGACAGAATTCAATGCCGTCAAATCCCTTACATTGGGGACAATTTTAGGTAAGTGGCAGAAACAGTGTTTCTCCCCCCATGGCATGGATGGGAAGTGTTAGGCTGCAGATCAGGAAGCATTCATCATGCTGAAAGCAGCTCCATGTCATACTCCTGGTTTCCTAGTGAGTGACAGTCCAGGTGGACACTGTCCTCTTATCTGAGTGCACATATAATCATGAGTAAATGCTGCCTGTCTGAGGAGCATGGGCTGTCCTTGAAAAATGTCTCCATGCTGACCCTTTCACTTGGCAATCACTCATAATGAAACTTGGCATTTCTCTCACAATTCAGGAAAGAGAAAATCAAAGAAGATATCAATTATATATGAATCAGGTCAAATGCAGAAGTTACTTAATGATAAAACTAGATTTGTGTCATTAAAGATAAAGAGAGACTTTATTTTCTTTAAGCAAATGAATTGGCTTTGAGATGTGGCCTGGGCCCTGCTTTGACTGTGGGCTAAGGGGAGATATGGTCATTCTCTGAGCTGCTCTTGTAAAGTCATGTCCTAAATGTCACCCAGACATTCCTTATGGCTACCAGTTATTCTCCATAAAAACACCAAAGTAAAAACATACTTTATAATTTAGGCATCAAATTCTTTATGCTTTTGTTTCCCCTTGTCACTAGGAATTAAATTGAAATAAAAATTTGGAAGGTATTTCTTTTCTTTGTGATCATATATAAAGTACACACTTCATTGATATTTAAATGTTACTTGGGAGAAATCACCATGTGGTGTGTTTATTATTCCTGCTCTGGTACTTGACACTCATTTGCTCTATTTACCCCTAAATAATGGATGGAATCTTTATTACCTCTTCAGCCATCTATACATTGATTATTTTGGTCATTTCTTCTATCATGTATGTGTATGTGTGTATATATACATATACATATTATATATATATATATGTATATGTATATATATGCATATATACACATACAAACATATACACATCACCAACTTGAGAATGTTAAAGACGGCACATGAATGGATGTTCAAAGAGAAGCATAGTATTGGGTTGTTGGAAAAGTCATGAAGTATTTTGTCTATGTTTTTCAAAGGTCATTTATTTATATAAAGAACAAAGATCAATCAGTGATATATTGCCCATTTTGTTTGATAACCTTTTGCCATCTTTCAGTGAGCTTCATAATTCCTCATTCATAGAAGGACCTCTCTTTATTTGCGAAAAGCTGAACAAGGTGCTGATTTAAAGCCTCATCTGAATTGAACATTATACCAAGCAAGGAGTTTTGAAGAGAGCGAAACAAGTGGAAGTCTGACAGTGCAAGGTCAGGCGAGTATGGTGGGTGTGGCAAAACATCCCATACAAACTCCAATAATGTTTGACAGGTGGTCAAACTTGTGTGTGGTCTCATGTTGTCATGATGGAACACAACTCCTTTACAATTAATGAGCTCTGGGCGTTTCTGGATGATGGATTCGTTCAAACTGTCCAATTGCCAACAGTACACATTCAAATTGATTGTTTGGTTCCTTGGTAGGAGCTCGAAAAACACGACACCTTTAAAATCCCACCAAACTGAGAGCATAACCTTCCTCTGATGAATGTCTGCTTTCGATGTTGTTTGAGGTGAATCATCACATCGGGACCAAGACAGTTTGCGCACCACATTATTGTAAACAATCCACTTCTCATCACCAGTTATCAGTTGCTTCAAAAAAGGATCGTTTTCCTCACATTTAATGAGCATATTGCAGATGTTTATACTCGCCATCAAATGAACTTCTTTAAGTTCATGCAGAACCCAAATATCGAGCTTCCTTACATGTCCCAGCTTCTTCAGGTGGTCATGAATGCTTGAATGATGGATGTTCAGTGTTTCTGCACTCTCTCGTGTTGTATAAGGTGGATTTGACTCCAGCAATGCCTTTATTTTGTTGTCATCAACCTCGGTGGGCCTTCCTGACCAAGGAGCATCGTTGAGATCAAAATCACCAGCACAAAATTTCGTGAACAATCGTTGGCACTGATGTTCTCGTAGAGCATTGTTACCGTAAACTTTATGCAACTTTTCACAAGCTTGATGCGCGTTCTTCCCTTTATGAAAGTAAAACAGTAAAATGTGGCGAAAATGCACACTTTGGTCTTCCATCTTCAACTTGTTGTAAAAATCTCCAAAACTGAATCAAATCGCTCAATTTTTTTTGGAATGAAGCTAGAACTGTCAGCTGTCAAATGACATAGCAATAACATAGATGTGAATTCCTCTAGTACTTCCAAAAATGAACTAGCGCCATCTGTTGCAAACATGTGTCATGCCTTTTCCAACAACCCAATAACTATTAAACCAATCACATTTTTCAAACAGATGATGAACAATAAAATTAGGACTTCTTATTTTTTAGACAGAGGAAATGTTACAAATCCCAGTGCTCTCTCAGGGTGCTCTTGTGGGTGGTAAAAACAAATGGATAACGTTTACACGATGCAGCCTAAGCGAAAGTTCTAAACTGGTCATCTGTTTAAGATGTAGATGAAGCCATTAAGGAGGGTGCAAAATTCTTTGCTGTAAGTATGTAGTTTCAGTGTAGTATAGTGAACAGCAGCTTCAGGCTGAAGTAGTGGTTCTGCATTCTAATCATGCTTTAAAAGTGGATAAAGACTCCAGCCTTGACCATGGATTGACTGAGAGGCAGCATGCACTGAAGGGTCTTTCACATGGTTCAATGTTCTAGTCCCACTCCTCTACCCCTACCCTGTGTGGAGCAGTGATGGAGCAGTTAACACAAAAATAAAAATGAGAACATTTCCCATGGAATGTTGGAGGTGTTTATAGCTCTCACAGCCCATTGTAGAAGTAAGTATGCTAGTCTCTAATGAACTGGCTGTGTGACTTCGGATGTGTTTCTTAAGCATTTCTGGACATCCATGTTTTCATGATACTGGATGTTTAAATTTTATTTAAAACAGTGGCATAGTATAGAAAACCAAAAGACTTGGAGAAACAATTGAAAGAAACTTCTCCCCCAACTTTTACCTATGAGAAGAACAGTATACATTTAGATAGAGAAGGTTATGAGATTTCTAAAACTTCACAAACCAAGTTAAGTTTTAGAGGAACAGTGGATGGAGCCCATCCTTGGCTGTCAGCTGAACTATATTATAATTGTTTTAACATCCAAGTGAAGAAGAATTTGCTCCCTTTTTAAACTGATATTGCGCTCTATTCTGTGCCCTGACTGGTAGTTTCTATCCTGGGTTGAGCAAAATGAGTAGTTGATCATCTCGGGTGTGCAAGCCTCAGAGCTGTGCTTCTGTGGAGTGTGTGCGGTCCTGAGTGGAATGATGGTTCTCTCTCCCAGCGAGCTGATCTCTCCTTCGTTGCCAGAACAAATGTTTATGTGCACTCTCTTCCCAGCCATTAGGATAGATATGGTCAAATAAATAATGCAGGTGCACACACAACTTCCTGTCTTCAATGACTCCAGTACCTGTCAGGAGAGAGAGAGGAGGCATGTTCAGAAATGTGTGTGACACAAGATAGAAAGTTACCATCAGGAACTGTGAAATTGGCAAAGGACTATTTTTAAAGACAATTGAGCTTCAAATATACTATCTATAAAGAAATATGCAATACATAATGGAAACATACAAGAAATAGACTTTATTATATGAAAGGGATCATATTAATAAAAAAGTAAAATAATAATTTTTATTATATAAATTTTTGTTGCCCTACAAGTTAACATATAGAGGATAATAGCATGGAATTCAAGATGTTCATTTTTTTTCAAGACTGATATATTCAAAAGTATCTCTCAGGGTATAAAAATTAAAGTTGAAATTCAGCAATGAAGTTTATAGCCTGAGGCAATTTAGTCTAGTAAAATTATTAATATTCATTTCATCTGTACCTAGAGGTATGCATCTTGATCAAAGACTAATAAAACTTTTCATGTTTTGCATAACTTTATTTAAGATGGCTTCTGTACTAATTCCACTGCTACTTCTAGAGCAGTTGTATAAAAAGACTGCAGTTTTGCATTCATATTTGGAGAATATAAGCTGAACTTCCTATCATTAACTTATAGTAAAATAGACCAACAGATTGGCTAAGAAAGGAGGCATTAATTTTTCAAAGAGAATAGTTCCCAGCTATGGCAAGTTAACCAGTACTTATTTGCTGTTTTGACTCATTTAGTTATTCATTCATTCAAAAAATGATGGTCCCTAATATGTTCTTACACTTGATTGGACATTTCAAATGCCTAGCATCAAAACACATACTGTACCTGCCTCCAAAGCACATGTGACATAATAGGGAATATAAACAATAAAATAATTTTTATGGCTAATCAATTATTATTAATACTCTAATGTACTTTGGAAAAATGGTTTAGGGTTGTCTTCTAATGAAGATGCTCTTATTCTTCCCATTCTTCAATGGTCTTATTAATGATGACCAAAGAGGTTAAATTTCCCCAGTTAATATAAGATAATTTCAATATAATCTTACCTTAATTATAAATTTTAAGATGTCTAATTGTCTGTCTAACCTTGACTCTGATAAGGTCTGTAGTCTTAAAGTATGACAGCTTTAAATTATAGCCCAGTAAGGTAACCTATCATTTTTGCTAAGTTTTGTTTTCCAAAGGCTTTTGTATAATTGATATTCTATTGGTTTTGTTTTTTGTTTATTAGAAATTTGTTTAAAACCCAAAATATCAAAACAAAACAAAAATGTGTTTTGAAGTGTGCAGACTAAAGATGTGTCTTTCTATTTCCTCCTAGGGCATAATAAAATGGGTTGTATATGGTTAAAATCAATATGTCATGCAGACCAACCCTAATAGGTCAATTTTCTGTGTGAAGAAAGGAAATCTACTGAAGGATTGTATGTTCAAGTGGAGCTTGAGAATTAGGTAACAAATAATCTGTGGAAATTACCTACTGAAGTCTGCATGAGTTTCAGTATTAAAAACTCCATTGTCTTATGTGACATATGTTAATCTTTCTATGACCTGCCTATGAATT